CTTGAAGAGGTAAGTAAGTAAACATGATTGAATTTTCATAACATATATAAGAAAATATGCGTGGCTAACAAATCAATGGTCCAAAAGTGCATTAACCTGATTAAAGATTTTGTTAAATTACTTAAATATATTTACGCGACATTATTTTTGTCTGTTAGCATTACAGTAAAATCGGATGAAGGATAAAATCAGGTTTCCTGAAAACTAAAAAAAAAGTCATGATCATGCATTAACACATGTTCTGACCTATTTCAGAACGATAATTAACTTCGATTTCATACGTTATATATAATTCTTTTTAGAAATTTATATGACCTATTTCAAGAACAATTAACTAGACCTCTTTTCTCGCTAATAATGTATTTCCATGTGTAAAATACTTTTAATGCTTTTGTAAATTGTCCTGAATAAGAAATTTGTCTTGAAGAGTTTATACGACACGTAAAAACGTATACCAAGATTCAGACATTAAGTATATAATGGGACAAAATAGAGGTTATGGAATGTGAAAGGTCCCATAAGAATCTTTTTATTTTTATTATTTATTTATTTTTTTATTTATTTATTTGATTTTTTTGTTTAATTAATTAATTAATTTATTATTTATTATTTTTTTAATTATTTATTCATTTTTTCATTTATTCATTCATTATTCATTCGTTCGTTCGTTCATTCATTCATTTATTTATTTATTTATTCATTATTTATTTATTTATTTATTTATTTATTGATTGATTGATTGATTGATTGATTTATTTACTTATTTATTTATTTATTCATTGTTTATCTATTTAATTTTTTAAAATTCTATTTTAATTAATTTATTTATTTATTGTTCTTTTATTTATTTATTGTTCTATTTATTTATTTATTTATTTATTTATTTATTTATCTATTTATTTATTTGTATTTGACGATCCGATATTGTTTAAATTAATAGAAAATGAAAAACAGTATGTTCTTGTTCCCATGCTTCGATATAGATTTACGCTAAATGAAAGGTTAAATGTTTGACTAAATTATTTTTTTCCAAAGTAGAGTCATCTTTTCCCAAACTGACACCAATACTTTACAAGTGTAAATCTAATTTAAGTATTCTGTGTCAAAGTACATGTGAAAATATAATGTTTACTGATTCACCGCTTGGCGAAATAACGTCTGTTGCGGAAAGACGTCATGACGTCCAATAATGCTGCAATATGACTGGACGGCGCATTACTTGATTGTGACGTAACCAACAGAACGTAGTTACAGCAACTGAAATGTCGCACACTTACAGTGCAGACGAATAAATAGCTATTTAAACAGAAACAGAAACAGAACAGAAATTTTATTTCGTAACGTATACAATACAGTATCTTGTTACATTACACATATCAAATATTATAAATAGATAAACACATGATATAATTCAAAGATTTACAGTATATTGGAGAATGAACATATATTGCTGCGAAAAAAAAAATTGATTTTGTATAAAATAAATGTATATCAGAATAATCTCATTTTTAATATCAGAATAATCTCATTTTAATATAAAAATTACTAGCGAAATCTAAACGTTTACAATATTAATGAAAATAATAACAACATTTTAACATTACATTTATGTATAACCTAAGCTTATCAACATATCTTTTCTTTTACTATTTGCAAAATAAATAAATTTACATAAATTTAATAATATAGACTTTTCACATGACTGAAGTAATTCTATGAATTTAAACATGCTAGGTTTTTTATAATAATATCTTTTAATGAATTTAGTGCGTATTTCCTGGTACAAATTACAAACAAGTATAAAATGGAATTCGTCTTCAATATCTTGTGTATTACAAAGTTGACATATGCGCTCATGTCTTTCAAGTCTGTTTCTACCATATCTTCCAGATTCTATCCTTAAATTATGCGCAGATATTCTGAGACGGGTTAATTGTTGTCTTGATTTCATACACTTAATTTTATCTAAATAGCATTCCATAGAAAAATTATCCTTGATATGTCTATACAATGTATTTAAAACGTTATTATTAACAATATCTGAAAACCATTTTTGTTTAAAAACATCAATGACTCTTTGTTTAAAAATATAAACAAATTCTTTTGGATTATAAAGTTCAGGACAATTCCACACCTCAGAAAAACCAAATTCATCTAAAATTCCTTTTACTTTATATGCCCAGTTTTTCACTCCTTTTTTACACTGATTTAATGTATTTATATACACACATTTAACAATGATATTGCTTGAATGTATCACTTTAAACCAATATTTTATTATGTGAACATATCGATTAACATAAATTGGATATCTTCCTAGCTCACCATAAATTGCTGCATTACAAGAGCTTATTTTCACACCAAGAATTAACTTGCACAATTTCAAATGTAATCTCTTTATATATTTAGATTTATTAAATGCCCAGACTGGACACGCATAATTTATGATAGCACTGACAAAATCATGAAATAATTGCAAGACAACAGAAGGAGATATTTCATATTTATTATTATTTCATATTAAGACATTCATTGCTTTCAGAGCTTTACCTATAAGATACTGGTTGTGGAGTACAAAGGACCTAGTGTTTATAAATACTATAATACCTAAATAAATAAAATCGTCAACAATTTCGAAAGCTTCATTATTATAAAACCAACTTTCATGAGGAAGTACTGGTCCTCTATTTCGAAAACAGCAACTATTTTAGTTTTAGATGTATTTATCTCTAAGCCCCATAAATTACAGTATATATATAAAGAGTTTAATCTTTGCTGTAAATCCTCTTGCGAGTTACCAATTATTACCATATCGTCAGCGAATAACAATATTACTATACATATTTCAAATATATACAATCCACAATCGACCGAGTTTTGTAAAAATAATTCTAGGTCTTCCAAAAATAGTGCAAACATGGCGGGCGAATTATTTTGGCCTTGTCGTAGCCCAACCGATAAATTGAAAAACTCTGAAAATGTATTGCAATGTTTAACACACGACTTAACAATTGAATACATTGATTTAAAAGTTCTAAGTAACTTCCCATCTAATCCCATATTAAACAATTTATACCATAATGCATTGCGGTTCACAGAGTCAAACGCCTTTTTTAAGTCGATAAAAGCACAAGGTAATCGCATTTTTTGAGTTAACATATGGTTTATTAAATTGTGTAACACGAAAATTGCATCTACTGTACTACACCCCTTTCTGAAACCAAATTGAGCGTCTGACAAAATGTTATTCTCATCAAACCATTTTTCCACTCTATTTGTCAAGATACTTATAAAATAATTTCCCAAAATTACTTAGTAATGTGATGCCACGATAATTATTAACATTAGTATGATCACCTTTTTTATGAAGAGGTATAATAAAGCCTTCAGACCATATTTCTGGAAAATAGCCTGCATCAAAAACTCTGTTAAAAAGATCAGTGATATGGCCTACTAATATATCAATAGAAAATATAAAGTATTCGTTCAACAAGTCATCACTTGGACAAGACGCTTTGTTGCGGTTTAATCGCTTCACCGCATCTCTAACTTCTTCGCAAGATATGGAATATTAAGCTCTTCGAAAGTAGGGTTACTAATATTAGGATCAATATTATCATTTGAAATATTTGCATCAAAATCAGTTGTAGCCCTTATTTCTTCAAACATATTTGCAAAAATAATTTTGGAAATCTGAAATAGGTATATCCGAACTTTGTGATACATTTCGTTTTTTTAAAATGTTTCCAAAACTCTCTTGGTTTACTCTTTTTCAATTCAGACAATTCTTGTGCCCTTTTAAGTCTATATTGTCGTTTCTTTTTACGAACAATGTTTTTAAACTCTTTTTTCAAGTCACATAGAATATGCCTGTTAGTTTCGTTTTTATAATTATTAAAAATCGACAAAGCATTAAGATAATTACGCTTTTTTTCGTAGCATTCTTCATCAAACCAAGAACAATCAGAGTTTCCACCCTTTTTTCTACCTTTTCGCTTAAAAAGAGGCTCGGCTACATCTTGAATGATCTTTGAAAACTTTAAAACAATATTTTCAATGTCGCTCGAAGAAGAATTCTCAAAAATATCGTTTAAATCAGCCATTCGTCCTAATAAACCCCTTCTAAATTTATCTTTGTCAGCATCACGCCATTTAAAATATGTACTCTCACTTTCTAAATTTCTTGGATTAAATTTAGTATCTAAGTATTTAACAGTAAACGAAAGTGGTGCATGATCACTAAATTCATTAAATTGACATATTTCGAATTCACTTATAATCTGAAAATTGCACTCTTTCAATAATAAATAGTCAATTGTACTGTTTGACTGACGGCTATAATACGTAAATGCCCCTACGTTACAATCTTTACCTAAACGACCGTTAGCTAATCTCATACAAGTAGTTTTACAAAAATCAAGGATCTTTTCACCTCTCGCATTAACAATAGGATCGGAAGAGGCCCTGCATAATGGTGCATCTGGAAAATAATCGTCAGAATCGATATATTTTACATTATTATCACAAACTATAAAATCTGATTTATTGCCTACTCTCCCATTCCAGTCACCTACTAATAACACTTTACCTAGGTCTTCAAAATAAAAAACATCATTAGTTAACATTTCAAATAAATCTACATTTTCAATACTCGCAATAGGCGAGTCATCAAACCACATATAAACTCCACATAAATATATATCAGTCATTGTCTTAAAAAACTCACTGTCCAGTTTCATCCATATAATTGTGTCACAATGGTTTCTTACAATAGTTACTCCATTTTTAATATTGTTTTTTACATATATAACAATTCCACCGCTGTTTCTTTTAGCCCTTTTATGTTTAAATTTTCTATAAAAATTAAAGCATGTATAACCATTAATTTCAATATTAGAATTTTCATCAGTCCAGGATTCAGTAAGAATACATATATCATTTTCCGAAATTTTAGAAATAAAGTCTTTATTTTTTAATTTAGCGTCACTTAAACCATTGCAATTTAAAGTTAATAAGAGACCAAATACCTACAAAATGGAAGAAATCTCGGCATATGACAACCGACCTGTAGCGATTAGCACATTTAAAGGTAGATTTTCTATTATAATTTGAATTATCTTTAATTATGATTATCAAAAAGAGAAACTCTATGAGATTTTTACTTCTTCGTTTTTAATTGTTTTTTTTTTTTTTTTGGGGGGGGGGGGGTAATAATCATTTAAAGTTCTACTGATATGGAAAAGTACTTGAAGGGATTCTATTGCGATAGTCCATACACTAATTTGAGGGGAGCGGTGGCCTAGTGGTTAAGGTGTCTGCCTCTCAACCCAGAGATCATGGGTTCGAGCCCTACTCGGGTCACGACCATGTTTCGCCATATGACACCAGTACTGGTTGGTTTCAGGAAGCGGACTCGAAAGTGATTAATATAAGTTGCAAGAACTTGTTTCGCAATCGAGCTTAAATAGATATGTTTAAACCATTAATTTGAAATTGCCATATAATTACCGAAATCATGAGAGAGATTTTTTATGAAATTAGCACTAAAATTAAAGAGTATAATGCGACACAGTATCTAATAAAATATCTTTAATATAAAATTGATAATAAGATCTATGAACAGTAAAATTATGTTGTTTCAATAATCGAATTGTCGATGATTCTTGAATGATTTGTCACATAATTTCATGAACTATTTTTTTTTCAATAATCTTAAATTGTACGTTAATAGAATAAAAAGGCACAAAACAAAACCAAATATTTTGCTGCTATTTTAAGTAGGGGTTTTAATTTTTAGCAACGATTAAATGGTATGTGCCATTCAGAAAGTACATTTTATTTTCTTTCATGTACAAAAAATATCTTAAAATCTTTCATATTCAAGTACGCACGCTTGATTTATGGCTATGCACTCTTATTCGGTCCGCATTCATTCGTGGGTATATATCATGGGCCCTCTGATACAATCTGCGTTCATTCCAATAGGTATATTTAGAAACACTGCTGGCGTTCATTATTGGATATTGATAATAATTGTGGCATAATTTATACATTCGGTGCTCATTTCTTTGTATATATCAAAACATATACAGCCCGCGTTCATTCATTGATATATATTGAAATCACTAATACATTGTTTCTCTTTTACAGTCCACCTTCAATTTCATACAATTCTATGCTTTATCTGAAAGAATCAATTCCCATATCAGTCTGTATATTTAACTGCATATAACTTTAAGAAGTACTTCTCTGTTTAGGGAAACACCGGAAACATCTATAATTCGTGTTAAATCGATAAATATACGCCAATCTATATTTGACTTTATTTTACAAATTCTTTAATTTTGTTGTTACAGATATCCTCATTAGTCCAAACAATGATGACGTCATCATTCCAATCAGTACGACGTTCGACAAAGCCGTATTACACATTGGTATAGGAAACGGATGTGGAATATTTATAGAGAAGTTTGGTGTGAAGGATGGTAAGGAGTTGAAAACTTCAGTGAAATATGCCACCAGAAAGTTCACAGACGCTCGTCAGCAGAGGAAAAACAAAGGTAAAGACCTAAAAGCAAGTGAAAGTGAAGATATTGAGAAGATTGTAGATGAAAGTGGGGAAAAGTTTATGAGAGACATTCCAAGTATGAAAGAGATTAGTAGACTGATGGCTAAGCTATTCAACCATCTTTTGGTTCAGGCACCAACGGAAAACAAAAGTGGTATTGATACAATACCAGACACTAAACCTCTGAAAGAAAGCAAATCTGTAGATATCGAAAGAGACATTGGAGCCGCTGATGAAAGTATTCAATCAATAACTGGGACAGTTTTATCATCTGACATTAAGAGAGACGTACAGGGAAAACCAAGACATGAAAAAGAAATTGCCGAAAATACGACATCAGGTTTTGATTATCAAACCTTGGTTGAGCCAAATATGAACATCCATTTGTACAAGCCTAATGAAACACGTTTTGAAGCAGAGAGGACAACTTCATTTGAAGCCATTGATAGAGCGTATCAAGAGGAAATGTTACAAATTGCAATTGATAAAGAGGCAGGTGTCTATACACCAAATTTCATTTGGCCATCGACAGAAAATGGATCAGGATTTCCACTTGCAGATGATATGCATGTATATCTGGATGAAATATTTGTAATCTCAAAACGAGTCTGTCAAATGTTTGATGAACATGTGTCAGCAACTACAGAGAAGAACAGAAAAGACAAACAACAAGAGGATGTATCCGAAAGCGGTCCGACGAGTGCAGTTGTATATATAAATAAAGATTACACAGTAGCAGAGAGAAATTTGATTGGAGACGTTCTATACAAAGACAAAAGTGATCCAATTTCATCTCATACAATTGCAGCCGATAAGGACAGTGATACTGTCGACCCGGATACGTTTGATGACATTCTAAATATAGAGTCAGATGGTTCAAAGAGTATTGATGTAGATGCAGTTGACGATATGTCAGACAGTGACACACTAGATGGTATCACAGATATAGAATCAGATGATGAAGTCGTAGAAATTATAGAATCAGATGACGATATTGTAGACATCGAAGAAATATCCCTCCAAGAAGTTCACGATGAAGTCGACTTAACAGCAGCTAGGGATGACATTGATGATACATATATTACAAACAACGATGTGATTGACGATGATGACGACCTGTTTGGTATCATGGGCATCTTCAGAAAGAGTGATCTACACTTCGACTTACACAACGTAAGTACTTAATGCACTAATGATTGATGTCTTTTGCAGCTGATTTGATACACGAACAAAACGTTTCACGAATACTAATTTTATTGTTATCTAGAGCTATTGATTGATTTATTCATTTATTGATTCATTCATTCATTCATTCATTCCGTTTCGTTCCGTTTCATTTATTTATTTGTTTATTCACCAATTCATTCATACATTCATACATTCATTCATTAATTCATTCATTCATCCAGTCAGTCAGTCAGTCAGTCAGTCATTCATTTATTTATTTATTCACCAATCCATTAATTTATTCATTCATTCCGTTTCGATTTATTTATTCATTTATTTATTCATTCATGCGCCAATTCATTCATTCAGTCAATCATTTTTATTTATTTTTCTATTTATATATTCATCTATTTATTCATTCATTCATTCATTCATTCATTGACTCACTCACTCACTCACTCACTCACTCACTCACTCACTCACTCACTCACTCACTCACTCACTCACTCAATCAATCAATCAATCAATCAATCACCAATTCATTCATTCATTCATTCATTCATTCATTCATTTCATTTCATTTCATTCATTCATTCATTTATTTATTTAACTATCTATTTCAGATGCCAGAATCAGCCGAGCACTGTGACCAGAAGAAAGACTTTGGATATAAATTCTTTTCATTTTCGACATTCTTCAAATAATACAAAAAAGACTGGAAATTTGATTTCAACTTTGTTATTTTTATTAAGCCATAGATTGTATCTAAATCAGTCACACTCTTACCTAAATAACTAAATAACCTATATATGTATAGCTCTTTACAGTTTTGGAATGAAAATAATTCATTAAAATGGATTCTAAAACGGAAGTTTTAACCTTTTCTAGAAGGACCTTTCCGGTTTTTCGTAGCGGAACATTTAGCCACACCTTTTCCATTCATTGCTAGGTCAACTGCTCAAAACAGTATCACAAACATAAACACGTGTTCTTTTGTGCAAACCTGGTCAACCAGTGACTATTTATTATCTCAGTGTAGCAACTGGATAAAAAGTTAGCCAATTTACATAAAACTGTAAACACTGGAAAGGTCCATTCAGTTATAGCTTCAAACACAACAGACAACTTAAGGTATGCATTACCTCCACTTTGAAGAGTATTCAAATAGGCTAGAAGTACTGTCAACTGCATTGAAACTGAAAGGCGAGGATTCAGACCCAAGAAACCTCCCAAAATAAATGGTCTCTTCCATTTTAAAGGCTACTAGTGCTAAATAGTTTTTTAATGTAAATAACTGTTAGCCTCCCTACCCCTAAAGAAAATAGTTGGTATCTTCCTTGTAGTCTACATACAGAGATCCTATAATGGAGTTTCTGACTGACAATTTATCTTTACAAGCATTCGGATTTAAGTTCAAACTGCGGTGGTCAACAGGAAATTGACAGTGTCCCCTTGATAGGAATCGAACCTAAGACACTTGATCAGTGCTTTATTGACTTTGTAACAAAAACATTCGACTTGAGTTTGAGCTACGCTTGTATTGCGCGATCACACAAAATGGCACTGATATATGAAAAAGATTGGATTAATTAATTTCCCATCCATCAAATTTGTTGCCAATTTTGTGAACGATTCAAAACAAATACCGTCAATAGACGTTTTATTGATCAGTGGTTCTACTGAAGAATGAGGATAAATTATGGTATATACTTAAACCAGTCTCATTTAGTATAAAATATTATCTGAATTTGATATAACTGATTCAATGTTATTTTATATTTTCTATAATTCATAACATTTTAATGTTTCATTAAGTTAGAGTAATAGAATTTAGTGTTTTATCAATTTCTTTTACCTCCCTTTTATAATAACCATTGATTATACTTCATTGGGACGTCTGGAAGCATTCCCTTAGGTGCGTTTAGGCGTATATTTAGTCAAAAAATTTGTTTAGGGAATTGTAAAGACATTGCAAGCCGTCACATTTTCGTTATAAATGTTCCATTTGATGTAGGTCTAGTTATTTTGTGTTATTTTCACTCGCTCACTCCGTTTTTCCAGAATAAATATTCTAAATGAGAAAGTGACACAAAATTGAAAAGCGTTGCAACGCTTTTCACTTAAATCGGGCTAAAAATAGAACAAACAATACACTTTTCAATTTATTCCTGAATATATTTCTTAATTACATTTTGCATATATATTTCTTTTTTTAAGTGTCTAAGCAAATTTATGTAAGAAATTCAAATTATATGTTTTCAGGCTTTTGGGCCACAGTGGAATTCCTTTAACACACACAATCACTATTCTTTTAAATTCATCTGTACTTTTAATTTCCAGTGATGTTCTTATATAACATATTACGTAACGGTAAAGTTTTATTTGGCATTACTCAAAATGTTTAGCAGGCAGTAACTTGAAACTTTATAGATAAAAAAACACATATTTTCTAAGAACCATAACTCCATTTGCAATATTGCATAATTTTGGAGGTAATACCTTTTGTATTTTTTTTAATTTAATTTTCGTTAAGAGCATAACTTGGAGGTATTAACTTGCAGCTTTATAGAAGGACAGAGGCAAAAATAGAAGTGAACATTTATTAACCATAAATTTTTGTATAAAGTATATATGTGTTTTTTCTTTAGTGCTTCCGTTTTGATTTTTTTTTCGTTGATTTTTCCGTTATGTGTACATGTACGTCTGCGTATGGTTGTGTATGTCATTAAGAGAATTTTTATGTTCAGTTCCGTTCTTTTCATGTCCATTTCCGTAGTCTATCCTTTATATGCGTATATGCATATTGCGATAAGTCACCTTGTATGTCCGATTCCGTTTTGTATGTTACGTTGTTAGAACGTCCGTCTGTCCATGTATGTGTATTTCTGTTTAGTCTGTCCAAGTATGTGTATTTCTGTTAAGCCTGTCCATGTACGTGTATTTCTGTTAAGCCTGTCTATGTACGTGTATTTCTGTGTAGCATGTCCATGTATATGTATTTCTGTGAATTTCCGTTTAGCCTGTCCATGTACGTGTATTTCTGTTAAGCCTGTCTATGTACGTGTATTTCTGTGTAGCATGTCCATGTGTGTGTATTTCTGTGAATTTCCGTTAAGCCTGTCCATGTACGTGTATTTCTGTTAAGCCTGTCCATGTATATGTATTTCTGTGTAGCATGTCCATGTATATGTATTTTTGTGAATTTCCGTTAAGCCTGTCCATGTACGTGCATTTCTGTTTAGCCTGTCTATGTACGTGTATTTCTGTGTAGCATGTCCATGTATATGTATTTCTGTGTAGCCTGTCCATGTATATGTATTTCTGTGAATTTCCGTTAAGCCTGTCCATGTACGTGTATTTCTGTTAAGCCTGTCTATGTACGTGTATTTCTGTGTAGCCTGTTCATGTATATGTATTTCTGTGTAGCCTGTCCATGTATATGTATTTCTGTGAATTTCCGTTAAGCCTGTCCATGTACGTGTATTTCTGTTAAGCCTGTCTATGTACGTGTACTTCTGTGTAGCCTGTCCATGTACGTGTATTTTTGTGTAGCCTGTCCATGTACGTGTATTTCTGTGTAGCCTGTTTATGTATGTGTATTTTTGTGTAGCCTGTCCATGTACGTGTATTTCTGTGTCGCCGTTTCATGTATGTGTATTTCTGTGTAGCCTGTCCATGTACGTGTATTTCTTTTTAGCCTGTCCATGTGTGTGTATTTCTGTTAAGCCTGTCCATGTAAGTGTGTTTCTGTGTAGCCTGTCCATGTACGTGTATTTCTATGTAGCCTGTCCATTTATGTGTATTTCTGTGTAGCCTGCCCATGTACGTGTATTTCTGTGTAGCCTGTCCATGTACGTGTGTTTCTGTGTAGCCTGTCCATGTACGTGTTTTTTCTGTTAAGCCTGTCCATGTGTGTGTATTTCTGTGTAGCCTGTCCATGTATGTGTGTTTCTGTGTAGCCTGTTCATGTATGTGTATTTCTGTGTAGCCTGTCCATGTACGTGTATTTCTGTGTAGCCTGTCCATGTACGTGTATTTCTGTTAAGCCTGTCCATGTGTGTGTATTTCTGTGTAGCCTGTCCATGTATGTGTGTTTCTGTGTAGCCTGTTCATGTATGTGTATTTCTGTGTAGCCTGTCCATGTACGTGTATTTCTGTTAACTCTGTCCATGTGTGTGTGTTTCTGTGTAGCCTGTCCATGTATGTGTGTTTCTGTGTAGCCTGTTCATGTATGTGTATTTCTGTGTAGCCTGTCCATGTGTGTGTATTTTCTGTGTAGCCTGTCCATGTACGTGTATTTCTTTGTAGCCTGCCCATGTATGTGTATTTCTGTGTAGCCTGTCCATGTGTGTGTATTTCTGTGTAGCCGTTTCATGTATGTGTATTTCTGTGTAGCCTGTCCATGTATGTGTATTTCTGTGTAGCCTGTCCATGTACGTGTATTTCTGTGTAGCCTGTTCATGTATGTGTATTTCTTTTTAGCCTGTCCATGTGTGTGTATTTCTGTGTAGCCTGTTCATGTATGTGTATTTCTGTGTAGCCTGTCCATGTGTGTGTATTTCTGTGTAGCCGTTTCATGTATGTGTATTTCTGTGTAGCCTGTCCATGTATGTGTATTTCTGTGTAGCCTGTCCATGTACGTGTATTCTGTGTAGCCTGTTCATGTACGTGTATTTCTGTGTAGCCTGTTCATGTATGTGTATTTCTTTTTAGCCTGTCCATGTGTGTGTATTTCTGTGTAGGCTGTCCATGTACGTGTGTTTCTGTGTAGCCTGTCCTTGTACGTGTATTTCTGTGTAGCCTGTCCATGTACGTGTGTGTTTCTGTGTAGCCTGTCCATGTACGTGTATTTCTGTTAAGCCTGTCCATGTGTGTGTATTTCTGTGTAGCCTGTCCATGTACGTGTATTTCTGTGTAGCCGTTTCATGTATGTGTATTTCTGTGTAGCCTGTCCATGTACGTGTATTTCTTTTTAGCCTGTCCATGTGTGTGTTTTTCTGTGTAGCCTGTCCCTGTACGTGTGTTTCTGTATAGCCTGTCAATGTGTGTGTATTTCTGTGTAGCCTGTCCATGTACGTGTATTTCTGTGTAGCCTGTCCATGTACGTGTATTTCTGTGTAGCCTGTCCATGTACGTGTATTTCTGTGTAGCCTGTTCATGTATGTGTATTTCTGTGTAGCCTGTTCATGTATGTGTATTTCTGTGTAGCCTGTTCATGTATTTGTATTACTGTTAAGGTTGTCTTTGTATGTGTATGTTTGTTTAGCATAATATGGTGAATGTATTGGTTGTATGGTCTGTGTATTTACGTTACGAGTGTACATGTTTGTGTATTTCCGTTATTTCCATTAAGACTGTACATTTTATGTGCTGATAGGTCTGGCCATGTATGTGTGGTTCTGTATATAGCTTGTCTATGTGTGTACTTTAGTGTATATAGTATATCTACGTATGTGTATTTCTGTGTATAGTATGGCCATGTATGTGTATTACAGTTTTAGTCTTCCCATGTATAATCTGTCCACGTATGTGTTTTTCAGTATATGATATGTCCTTTATTCTTATTCCATCTGTCTCTAAAGCTGTATATTTAGTCTTTTTCGAGGTGTAGCGGGGGATTGAACTTGCGACCCCTTGTTTCGTAGCCAGTCAGTGTTACCACTGCACCACAACCTCCGCTCTGATTAACAACTATTTTGGAACTAATTGCCAATTCGTAGAGAACAGAGATTGATCACTCGATCATGAAAATACATGATAATGAACTAAACTTTTTGCGTACATTGATAGTTTATCGGACCAGTTATAATGCGTACAGTAAGAAATACAGAAATATTGTAGATATATGCGAAATAGATAATTAAAACATATAAGTGTATTTTGTTTTGCTATTTAGAGTCAACATGTTGCTATAACTAATCAAATATCTGTTCCATAATATCTGATTTTTTTTCTTTTTTTTTCCATTTTATAAGTATGTCAGATTACAGGTGGCATTTATAGTAGCAAATACATCAATAACTTTCTCCTAGCAATGAAATTGATTCTTTCATTTTGACCATCATATACAATTATATGTATAGGATATCGACCGAGTACGAGGGCTTTCTGTTTAGGAAAGACCTGGTCACGACTTTCATGTGACACCGAGAGCGCGTAGCGCTCGAGGTGTTTCATGAAATTCGTGACCAGGTCTTTCCTAAACAGAAAGATCGATGTACGAGGCCGATATCCAACTTACACACCGTCAAACTATTGGCTTGAGCAATGGCTGATCCGAAACATTTCATGTAATGCATATAAAGATAATTTTTTAACACAGCGCATAAACAGGTAAGCTTTTATCAATGTTCTGCTTTTATATAGTATATATTTTGCATTTAACTTTGTTTTTCAAAATAATAATAAAAAGGCTAAATGTGTAATTTGTCAATAAATAAGTAAATGGGTCTGTAATTGAATTTATGTAAAAGAATGAATAATTATGTTGAAAGTATTTCGTATCAGACATTTCAAATTCTAGGACATTTGCTCCCCCCGAACAGTTGCCCTCTCGGACGTTGCCCCCTGTTTTTTGCTTGTAACTTGTCAGAGGTCATCTCGTGTATATATTTAATGTACTTTATTTTTTTATTTATGGATGCTTATTTTTAAGTTTTCACAAATTTGCGCGAGAGTTTTTGTTAATTGAACCAAAATGGAATTTCGACAATAGGCAATGAATTTTAATTTTTGTAACAAACAATTCAACAATTAAATTTTTTTTAACATTTTTAATGGCAAATGTCCAACCCTTCCAAAGATATGGGGGAGGGGGGGGCAAATGTCCGCCACTGCAAAAAGGGAGCAAACTCCGAGGGGGCAACTGTCTGAGGGGCAAAAGTCCGATACCCAGCACACCATGAAAGACTTACATAATTATGTATATTGTTGCATGTGTAGTAATGTGTAAGATACATGATCCGAAATTATATTTTATATAGCAGATTATAAAGTGTTCTAGAATAAAAATGATGAAAATAAATTTTTAAACTAAATCACTTATAACTTTATATTAACATTTCTTTTTCAATATTGCTTTTAATAATATCTTAATCGTTTTTGTCGATATTTTAACTAATGGGAGATGCGTCCATTGTAGACCAATCCACTTTGAGTACTTGTATCTGCATGTCACTATAAGCAAGGTTTGGATTATATCTTTAACGTTCTTTGAACTCGAAGGTTTTCAGGGGAAATCAGTTTTGATTTTTCGCGGGTTGAATAGAAAGGTAGGATAAAGCCTAACTAAAAGAGGGGGTGGGGACGGGTTAACGGGGATTTAACAATCTGATTGATCCTGATGGTGGGAATGTAACCAGGGACTTTGCTATGAACTGTAGGTAGCTGCGGTTTCCTAGGCAAAGAGTATATCAAATGGACGTTATTTGAATCACAAATGAAACGGAAATATTTTTGTTATATTTTTTCGATATGGGGGTTTGGTACTATGAATTTTTTTATGGATTAGATGATTTAGAATCGTGATATGTATGCGGTGATAACTGTTAAAGTTTCATAGAAATGAACTTAAAGCACCCATTTTTGTTATATTGTGAAATTAATGGCAGAAGAAGCGCTTAGATTACTATTACTTTGAAAAATGACGCGATTAGAAAAAACTTTGATATGCTATCCATTTATTTCATTCAAAGATTTAATATAGAGATGTTGGAATAATTATAAACATTATCTTGTTTAAAAGAATGTATCCAGATTTTGTCAGACAGGAATATTATGACAATCATTTATTTACATTTTATTTTTAATTTTTGATTGCATTTCATGTTTTCTTTGTCTACGCATAGGCAGGTCTATTTTTTCACGTGTTTTTCATGACCGGGTCTGTCTGACTAGCACAGACCTGTGCACGTGCAAAAGATAGACCTCATAACGGAATTTCTTTTGTTAAAACAGGTCTATCCTAAAAATATAGACCTGTCACAAACAATAGAGGAGGTCATTCGGAACTGCCTCGGCTGTTATCTACAATATTAACCTCGGAAACAATACGGATTGAAAGTAGTTCTACCACGTGGTTTACTGATGTAAACAGAAACAGAGATAATGTAAAACGAATGTATATATTTGACATCTAATGTCTGTTCCGGTACTCTTATGCATTAAAATATGTCCGACAACAATTTGTTATTTAAATATGACATCTGATGTTCAATTTTAAATAAATCCGACCAAATGTCAACAGGTTGGTTTTGTGTACTTTCGGTTTCACAGCCATATTAGTAAATATATAAATAATGTATTGTTTGCTTTTGTACCTATGAATTCACTTATTTCAGGTGGACTTTTACTACATATATTGGAAATAAACGTGTCAACAACTCCCAGCATTAAATTACTATTTGTTTACATGTTTAGTTTCTTAGCGTAGGTTAGACCGGAATACCGCATCCGTTCTGTGTATTCATACTATTGTGTTCGAAGACTGACGGAAAGGGCCGAGTAGTTGCGATTGTAGAGGAGGTGTGTAACTTCGGTTCAGTAGGCACTATAATTATTCGAATAAAAATCACAACATACAACAAATATTTGAAGCAAACTGATTTTAACCCACATTATTCGTCACTTTCCTCCGCCATTATTCAATATCGCATGATTAGAAAAAGTATCGCATTGCTGTATGTTCGACCCTCTGTTCTATATCAATAATGATTTCCCCCTTCGATATGCATATACATGTAACTTAATTGAAAGGTCACATATTTGACTACAATATCTTTTCCGAAACGAATTCATCTTTTCTCAAACTTGGAACAATACTTTACAAGTAAAAATTCAATTTAAGTATTCAGCGTCAAAGTTAAAACATGTTTACTGATTCACCGTTTGACGAAATAACGTCTGTTGCGGAAAGACGTCATGACGTCCAATAATGCTGCAATATGATTGGACGGCGCATGTATTGATTGTGACGTAACAAACAGAACATAGTTACCGCAACTAAAAATGTCGCACTCTTACAGTGCAGACGAATAAATAGCTATTTAAAGTTAATAAGAGACAAAATACCTGGAAAATGGAAGAAATCTCGGCAAATGACAACCGACCTGTAGCGAATAGCACATTTAAAGGTAGATTCTCTATTATTATTTGAAATGTCGGTCATAATAATTATTGAAAAAGGAAATTCACTGTTAGCTTATTTTCGCATTTCGTTTCTCTTTTCGATGAGAAGTTTTAAAATTTTATTTATATGGTCATTAACGTCTGACAAGTTTGATCCTCTTTGTGATCGTTTAAGGAATTTGAAGCAGTAAGATAGTTGTACTTGTAGATGAACTTAAGATTTTCTGGTCGCCATAAAATGACAAATGCAAATTTGCTATATAATATGATAACTAAAATTATGAGAGTTTTTATGAAAATAAGTGAAATTAAAGAGGTTCATTATATCTTACAAATGAATATTTTTTCTCGTTCTAAGAAAGAGCAAACATGAGTTCAATAATGTTTAAATAACAGGTTTAAAGAAGAAATAAAGGCATGTTGGGACATTATGGACCTTTAAAGAACATACAAAATACTGTATCTAATGAAATGTTTTGATAATATGTTAATGAAAGGTAAAATTAGGTTGTTTTTCATAATATAAAGGTCGATTTTTTAATAAATTGTATGTGACATTGAATGTCTCTTGTTACTTAACGCACATGAATAATGAACGTAAACAGAATAAAATGGTCCACTACTTAAAATAATATGCTGCTATTTTAAGTCGGGGTTTGGTTAATCAGCAGTGCAATTTAGCAGTGATTTCGTGCCTGTGTCAATCGTTCACAAGGAAACATACAAACATATTTGTTTAAAGACGCATGTCACAGAAAAAATAACATTGGCCAAATTATTGAAATATTTGAAATAATATTAGCTTTGATAAATAAAAAAACAACAACAACAGACCACAAATTATCTCAAACACAGAAAAAACACAGATGAAATAGATATAGATTTAATCAGAGCTTAGACACACACATATATAATATATATCAAATGAACACTAAAGTGATGTCTGAATAAACAATGAAATATACTATGCAATCAGTCTAAAGGTAAGACAAATCATCAACTTGAACAGATATAATTATGACTAATTTCAGACCAATGAAAATATAGAATTAAATGAACACAGATCAAAAATCGCACATAACAGAAAATAACATAAAATAAAAGTCGAACTGACTTTAAATTAAACATAAATTAAACAAAAATAAGAAAGTCTTACTGACTTTACAAAAACAAGCAAACAAAAATAAAATGGGTTGGGAGGGAGAGGCGAAAAAAGATCTGTATCAACCAAAATGTGTCTAAGAACTGTAAAGACCGCGAAAAGATGACTGAATTTATAACAACGCGTAGGAATACAACTAAATCAGTGACCCGAAAAATACAAACACCTAAAGAATGACCCAACAGATTAACCAATAAAAATTTCTGTATTATATCGGTAATTAAAAGATTTTAGATAAATCGAAAATACTCTACATACTTTTTTGATATACAAAACAAAATAGGTATAAATTTGATTTCAAGTCATAAACGAAAATCAATTATTATCTTCTATCATGCAGATATTAGACTGATGTAGGTGTAAAGAAATATACATATATGTGTTCTTATATAGAAATTGTCTTAGTTATTATACTATTATACTATTATACTAAGATATTTAAATAATGTCCGAGGTGATGTACATGGTCAGACTGTAGACTATTTTTCCATGGAAAATAAGTTGAATTATTTGATAAATATCATAAATCAAATTATAATCCGTCGTCAATGTTAGTATTAAATCAAGGAAGTTTCCTAAATATTAAAATACGCAATCAATATTTGACTTTATTTTTCTACATTTTTAATGGTTTTTTTTTGGTTACAGATATCCTTATTAGTCCAAACAATGATGACGTCATCATTCCAATCAGTGCGACTTTTGACAAGGCTGTATTACACATTGGTATAGGAAACGGATGTGGTATATTTATAGAGAAGTTTGGTGTGAAGAATGGTAAGGAGTTGAAAACTTCGGTGCAATATGCCACCCGAAAGTTCACAGACGCTCGTAAGCAAAGAAAAAACAAAGGTAAAGACCTAAAAGCAAGCTCAAGTGAAGATATTGAGAAGATTGTAGATGAAAGTGGTGAAAGGTTTACGAGTGGCATTCCAAGTATGAAAGAGATTGATAGACAGATGGCTAAGCTATTGGACCATCTTTTGGTTCAGGAAACAACGGAAAACAAAAGTGGTATTGATACAATACCAGACACTAAACCTTTGAAAGAAAGCAAATCTGTAGATATCGAAAGCGACATTGGAGCCGCTGATAAAAGTATTCGATCAATAATTGGGACAGTTTTATCATCTGACATTAGGAGTGACGTACAGGGAAAACCTATGCATGATAAAGAAATTGCCTTGGAAGAAAAAACCTTGGTTGAGTCAGATATGAACAATCATTTGTACAAGCTTAATGAAACACGTTTTAATGCAGAGAGGACAACTTCATTTGAAGCCATTGATAAAGCTTATCAAGAGGAAATGTTACAGATTGCAATTGAAAAAGAGCCAGGTGTCTACAAACCAAACTGCATTCGGTCATCGACTGAAACTGGGTTTCCACTTACAGGCGATATGTATGTTTATATGGATGAAATATTTGTAACCTCGAAACGAGACTCTCAAATGATTGATGAATATGTATCAGCAACTACAAAGAAGACAAGAAAAGACAAACAGCAAGAGTATATATCCGAAAGCGGTACGACGAGTGAAATTGTAGTTATAGATAAAGATTACACAGACAGCAATGTGTTTGATGACGTTTTAGATAAAGGTCAAAGTGGTCCAAATTTAGATGATTCAATTGTAGATAGAGCACCAAACGACAGCGAGAATTTGGATGCTATCGTTCCGGATACGTTTGCTGTGGAGTCAGATCTTTCAATGAGTATAAATAAAGTAGCAGTTGATGAAATGTCAGACAGTGACACACTAGCTGGTATTTTAAATAGAGAATCCGGTACTGAAATTGTAGAAATTATAGAATCAGATGACGATATTGTAGACATAGATGCAATAGCTCTCCAAGATGATCAAGATGAAGTGGGCATAACAGCAGCTAGGAATGAAACTGATAATACTTATATTACAATCAACAATGTGGTTGACGATGATGATAATCTGTTTGGTATCATGGACATCTACATAAAGAGTGATCTACACTTTGACTTACATAACGTAAGTACTTTGCACACTAATGATTGATGTTGTATAACTGTAACTTTAAATGCATTTGAACGATTTTCCATTGACTAATTGATTTGATACACGAGCACAAAGAATCACTAATACTAATTTATTGTTATCAAGAGCTGGATTCATTCATTCATTCTTCATTCATTCATTCATTCAGTCATTTAGTCATTCTTTTATTTTTTAAATTTATTCATTCATTCATTTCATAACATTTCATTATTTATTTATTTATTTATTTATTTCAGATACAAGCATCAACCGAGCACTGTGGCCAGAAGAAAGACTTTGGATATTAATTCTTTTCATTTTCAACATTCTTTAAATAAAGATTAGGAACATAGGTTCAACTTTGTTATTTTTATTCAGCCATAGATTGTATCTAAATCTTACAAAAATAACTTGATATGTATAGCTCGATCTATATAGTTTTTGAATGTAAATAATAGATACACCACTCCCCCAACATACACCCTCAAGAAAATAAATAATTGTTGTAGCAGTGGTGTTGGTATTTTTCATTCCGGATCACGGCAGTTAGCCACATTGAATTTACCAGAGCACAGTTCAGCCACCGCATCGTTCCGGGGCAGGCTGTCAAGCAGTTTACCAGTACTAGTTGCCTTCACTTTCGCAAGGAACTAAAACTTCTGTACATACCAGAGCAGAGGTACCAGTGCGAATGACTGTAGAAATGAATGCACGATCAACAACAACGAAAGTGACCTGCGCCGTCCGGAAATCAAACGTGGTTCCCGATGATCTAACAATTGAGCTAACCGGACGGCTTTTTCAAGAAATTATTGGTCTCTTTTTATAGGCTAAATACATAATTGATTTAAAGGGATCCTATAATGGCGGTTTTGACTGACAATTTATCATTACTTGTACTCGGATATAAGGTCCCCTTCATGCCCTTTATGAGGAAGTATCACTGTAAATAGGAATTGAGCACAGGACACTTGATCAGTGCTTTCTTGACTTTGTAACACAAACATTCTGCACTGCGCTTTACAGTGGTATATAAGAAAGACTGATTTTATAAATTTCCCGTCCATCAAATTTGTTTCCAACTTTGTGAACGAGTCAAAAGAAATACCGTCAATAGACGTTTATTGATCGGTGGTTCTACTGAAGAATGATGATAAATTAGTGTATATAAACAATCTTAATAATGTAAATAAATCAGGCTTATTAAGTATAAATTTATCATCTGATTTTGATAAAAATAATTGAATGTTATTACATTTTTTCAACAATTTATATTGATTGAATGTTCTGTTAAGTAAAAGAACTATGGTTTATGTTTTTATGAATTTCTTTTACCTCCCTTTAATAATAACTAATTATACTGACATAAAATCCGCACTATATGAAATCCATCCATAATTAAGTTAAAATTAGACTTTTCGGCCACAGTGGATTTTATTTAACACACACAATCACTATTCTTTTAAATTCATCGTTCAATTTTTTTTGATGTTCTAATATAACATAGAGTTAAAAAGAACTTTGTCGGTAAAATTTTATTGGGCATAACTCAAAACGTTAAGCAGACATTAACTTGATACGTTATTGTTTGTTTGTTTGTTTGTTTCATTTTACGCCTTTTCCCAACAGTTTTTCGGTCATATAGGCGGGTAATTTTCTAACCATCGTTCCTGGAGAGTTACACCAGTACTAGACTACCTTCCTCCGTGATACGTTATACACTGCAAACTGGATCAAAGCGCTGAAAGCACCGAACGCATCGGCTCAGCTTAAAGCTCATTAACCCCCAGAAATAGAACGTTTTTTTCTCATTTAAATAAGTTGCTCTGTATTGTGTTTTCTCTCTCTTAATTGTACATCACGTGACATTAATTAGTTTGTTATAACGATATACTTGTAACTGAACAAGTTATGAAAATTATACATTATTCTCTGTACAAAAGCTATCCAGCTAGCTTAGGGATTGTCGTTTGCTCTAGTCAGGTGCCATTTCGTGACTGAATAATGCACGGACGGTCACCGGCTTTAATGTCACTATATGACTATTTTGGTGTCGGTGTGACTTAAAACAAAAACAATACAAAACAAAAACATTGTGAGATATAATTTCTGCATTTAAATTTTTATTCTTAAATTAACGTTCATTTGTAAGTTTCACATATTAGATATAATTTATATAAACATCAAGATTATCCAATGAAAAGCGACGTTACAAACGTGCAAAATAAAAGATAGAATAGGCCTATATTCAACAATATAGCGTGGAATATTCGTATCTCGTTTTAAAATAATAAAGTAAACGTTGGATGTGTCATCTTGAATAAAATAATCAATAACTGCCTGAGAATAATGACAACTGTAAGCTTCTTGTTTCTGGTACATTACGTCACACATTTCCAGATCGACACGTATGACGTCACACAATGCTGGCGTCTTTCGCCATTCCATAGAATATGCTTTCCGTGTTATCTAACAAGAATGCGGGTGTATCGAACTCCGCCAGTTTACCTTTGTCCAGGACCATTATCCTTGAAATATTACAAATATAAATACATTACTACGATTATAAGTTAATATTGTCATTACACATGTATATTACATTTAAATAAATAGCTCTATACATTTAGGAAAACATTCATTTTGTATAGATTGAGCAAAAGATTCATAAAGTTTGTTTTTTCTATCGAAAATTCAACAGTGTATCTTTATAATACTTCAAAATTAATATTTACAAATTTGGCAAGCGGGGAGCAATAGAGAAACTGATTTTGAACGAAATAACATATCGTACTCAATGTTTGTTAAATATTAGTTGTATATAATAAACTTGTTCACCTGTCATAATCCATTACTGTATTAAGTCTATGAGCAACTGCTAATATTGTACACTCACTGAATTGTTTACGGATGGTATCTGAATTATACAAAAATGATAAATTTGGATAATAAAACAGAAGAAATAAAAAAAATTATACTGCTGTTACTTCGTACAGTTACTTCCCTTTGTTTGGTTAACGATCGTCTTATAGCGTGACAGGACAGCTTCCCGGCTACCCCCAAGAAGTCGGGGCACAAACAATGTTTTTTTCTGCTTACAAGTTAACTTATATGGTAAGATTAGGACCAATGCCATTGCAGAAGGATACTTTTATTTCTAATACAACAACTCTAATATTGATTTATGTATGCTATTTGGTATCTATTAATATACCTCAATGGACAATTATTTTTTGAAATCTTTTAACTTGAATAAGGTCATCTGTCTCCATATCAACAGCTGCAGTTGCTTCGTCTAGTATGAGAATCTTTGTTTTGTGTAATAGTGTTCGTGCTAAACAAACTAATTGTCTTTGTCCGACACTGAAATATGATCAAAAGTCAGAAAATGATGATGATGAACTTATATATAACTCATATAACTTTATAAATTAAAATGTGGGACAAGACCTAATGTGCCACTTCATGCATTATTTCAGGTACACTCTAGAATCAAAGTTGAACTATCGACCTTCATAACCATATATCTCCCCTAGGCCTTTTAATAAACGAGTCTAAAGTCTCGGAATTCAAACCGTCAGCAAAGAGGGAGGCGTAATTTCAAGTTAGTAACCTGAATCACTAGTTCTTAAAATTCTAATCGTTTATTAAATAGTGTTGAGCGTTTAACCATTTTTGTTTGTTGCTTTTCCCATTGGTGTCAGACCCAATTTTGAGAAACCACAGATATAAAACCCTAAGCCCTTCGGCCAGATGACTGCTACTTGTTTTATAAGGGGCAATATCTGTACCAATGCACTGCTAAATATCTCTTTTTCTTTTGTTCTGCAACTGTTTTCATTGGAAAATAAACTATAAAAATCACAAAATCCGGCTTTGGGCTACTAAATTATTTCCTGTGCTCTGTAGGGATATTTGGACTTTACAGATTACCTAAAGGTACCTTAAATTCTGTCCGGATTCGCCGCATTCAAACTCTAGCCTCGCCTCCTGGCCCATGACAAACTCCTTGAGGTGCGCACACTCGATGGCAAACCAGATACTCTCATCGTTATAGTGGTTGAATGGATCTAAATTGTTCCTTAACGATCCGGAAAATAGCACAGGGTCCTAAATATATCAAAATACTAAACGATCGTTATATGACAAAGCCAAACTATATTTTCTTGGTTTCCTGCATAACTGATTAAAGAACGTAAGTGTCGCAGGAGGGACTTTACTCCCGATTTTATAATTTTTCCACTATAGGACAAATTGATTTTCCTTTGTTAATACGTTAGCTGCAAATGACCTAGAAACGGCATCTATCATAATAATTTAAATGGATAACTAGAAATGTGTCCATAGGACACGGGTGCCCCCACACTCCACTCTTCTGTCAATCTTATGACTCTAGGTCAAATATTTTGGACTACATGTGCCAAAAGTTGAAAACTAAAAATCTTAATAAAGGGCAAGAACAAATACTGAATAAATCACAAGCAAAACCCAAGGTGCATAAGTACACATGCCGACCAACATTCTTGTAAACTTTCAGGCCTACAAGTCAATTACTCTTTGAGCTATGCATGAACAAGTTGAAAATTGCAAATTTATACTACTGTAAGTCAAGGGCAATAACTCTAACAGAACTGAAAAAAAATCCACATACAAAGTCTCAGGTGCATAGCTTTATTGTGATGTTGATCATTATTCCTGTAAAGTTGGTTGATTCTAACTCAAGCACTCAAGGAACAAATAACACAACATAATGAAACGGTTTTTACTAAGTCAAGGGAAATAACTCTACAAATACTGAATAAATACACAAGCGAAACCAAGGTGCACAACTACATACGCTGAGCAACATTCCCGTAAGGTTTCATGACTCTAAGTCAAATCCTTTTTGAATTACATGCGACACAAGTTGAAAATTGCAAAATTTTACTAAGTCAAGGGCAATAACTCTAAAAATACTATATAAATTCACATGAAAATACCAATGTGCACTACCACACATGCTGATCAACATTCCTGTAAAGTTTCATGACTCTAGGTCAAATCCTTTTTGAGTTACATGCGACACAAGTTGAAAATTGCAAATTTTTACTAAATCAAGGGCAATAACTCTAAAAATACTATATAAATTCACATGAAAATACCAATGTGCACTACAACACATGCTGATCAACATTCCTGTAAAGTTTCATGACTCTAAGTCAAATCCTTTTTGAGTTACAGGCGACACAAGTTGAAAATTGCAAATTTTTACTAAGTCAAGGACAATAACTCTAAAATACTAAATAAATCCACACGAAAATACCCAGGTGCACAACTACACATGCTGATCAACATTCCTGTAAAGTTTCATGACTCTATGTCAAATCATTTTTGAGATCAAAGTTTTCTATATCTTTTTTATGGCAATCTTGGCCACAAAGTTATAAGGATATCTTTTGTTTTTTGTTTTGTTAAGAGCTAGTGAATATAATATTATACATTGTACCTTCAAATCAATGAACTTCTCCTTCATTTCTATGCAGGGCGATGATCTTTTTCCTTACGCAGATTGCGCATGTGCGAGAAAATACTGCACCGGCCGAAATTTTAATAGCAACGGTCTGCGTCGTATGAAGGTCTATAGAAAAGGCGGAACCAGCGTGCGCCCCCATCTTGCAAACATGATAAAATGTTGAAGATAATTATACTTCTATCCCAAAATCCAAATGAAAATATAATATTTAGGTCAGGTCCCCATATAGTGATCTGAATATAATATCTATACAGTGATATGATGGATATTTTAACAAAAAAAAAAGCTTCTGAGAAACCCTGCTGAGTTTTAGTTATATATACATGCATAAATATTGTTTCTTTGTTTTGTTTTTATTTTATTTACTTTTATTTCTAATACAACAACTCTAATATTGATTTATGTATGCTATTTGGTATCTATTAATATACCTCAATGGACAATTATTTTTTGAAATCTTTTACCTTGAATAAGGTCATCTGTCTCCATATCAACAGCTGCAGTTGCCTCATCTAGTATGAGAATCTTTGTTTTGTGTAATAGTGTTCGTGCTAAACAAACTAATTGTCTTTGTCCGACACTGAAATATGATCAAAAGTCAGATAATTACGATGATGAACTTATATATAACTCATATAACTTTATAAATTAAAATGTGGGACAAGACCTAATGTGCCACTTCATGCATTATTTCAGGTACACTCTAGAATCAAAGTTGAACTATCGACCTTCATAACCATATAGCTCCCCTAGGCCTTTTAATAAACGAGTCTAAAGTCTCGGAATTCAAACCGTCAGCAAAGAGGGAGGCGTAATTTCAAGTTAGTAACCTGAATCACTAGTTCTTAAAATTCTAATCGTTTATTAAATAGTGTTGAGCGTTTAACCATTTTTGTTTGTTGCTTTTCCCATTGGTGTCAGACCCAATTTTGAGAAACCACAGATATAAAACCCTAAGCCCTTCGGCCAGATGACTGCTACTTGTATCATAAGACCAATGCACTACTAAACAGCTCTTTTTCGGTTCTGCAATTGTAATCATTGGAAAATAAACTATAAAAATCACAAAATCCGGCATTGGGCTACTAAATTATTTCCTGTGCTCTGTAGGGATATTTGGACTTTACAGATTACCTAAAGGTACCTTAAAGTCTGTCCGGATTCGCCGCATTCAAACTCTAGCCTCGCCTCCTGGCCCATGACAAACTCCTTTAGATGAGCACACTCGATGGCAAACCAGATACTCTCATCGTTATAGTGGTTGAATGGATCTAAATTGTTCCTTAACGATCCGGAAAATAGCACAGGGTCCTAAATTTAACAAAATGCGAAACGATCGTTATATGACACAGTGAAACTAAACTTTCTTGTTTTCCTGAAACATCATTTGTCATTACTGATTAAAGAACGTAAGTGTCGGAGGAGGGACTTTACTCCCGATTTTATAATTTTTCCACTATAGGACAAATTGATTTTCCTTTGTTAATACGTTAGCTGCAAATGACCTAGAAACGGCATCTATCATAATAATTTAAATGGATAACTAGAAATGTGTCCATAGGACACGGGTGCCCCCACACTCCACTCTTCTGTCAATCTTATGACTCTAGGTCAAATATTTTGCACTACATGTGCCAAAAGTTGAAAACTAAAAATCTTAGTAAAGGGCAAGAACAAATACTGAATAAATCACAAGCAAAACCCAAGGTGCATAAGTACACATGCCGACCAACATTCTTGTAAACTTTCAGGCCTACAAGTCAATTACTCTTTGAGCTATGCATGAACAAGTTGAAAATTGCAAATTTATACTACTGTAAGTCAAGGGCAATAACTCTAACAAAACTGAAAAAAAAATCCACATACAAAGTCTCAGGTGCATAGCTTTATTGTGATGTTGATCATTATTCCTGTAAAATTGGTTGATTCTAACTCAAGCACTCAAGGAACAAATAACACAACATAATGAAACGGTTTTTACTAAGTCAAGGGAAATAACTCTACAAATACTGAATAAATACACAAGCGAAACCCAAGGTGCACAACTACATACGCTGAGCAACATTCCCGTAAGGTTTCATGACTCTAAGTCAAATCCTTTTTGAATTACATGCGACACAAGTTGAAAATTGCAAAATTTTACTAAGTCAAGGGCAATAACTCTAAAAATACTATATAAATTCACATGAAAATACCAATGTGCACTACCACACATGCTGATCAACATTCCTGTAAAGTTTCATGACTCTAGGTCAAATCCTTTTTGAGTTACATGCGACACAAGTTGAAAATTGCAAATTTTTACTAAATCAAGGGCAATAACTCTAAAAATACTATATAAATTCACATGAAAATACCAATGTGCACTACAACACATGCTGATCAACATTCCTGTAAAGTTTCATGACTCTATGTCAAATCCTTTTTGAGTTACATGCGACACAAGTTGAAAATTGCAAAATTTTACTAAGTCAAGGGCAATAACTCTAAAAATACTGGATAAATACACAAGCGAAACCCAAGGTGCACAACTACATATGCTGATCAACATTCCTGTAAAGTTTCATGACTCTACGTCAAATCATTTTTGAGATCAAAGTTTTCTATATCTTTTTTATGGCAATCTTGGCCACAAAGTTACAAGGATATCTTTTGTTTTTTGTTTTGTTAAGAGCTAGTGAATATAATATTATACATTGTATCTTCAAATCAATGAACTTCTCCTTCATTTCTATGCAGGGCGATGATCTTTTTCCTTACGCAGATTGCGCATCTGCGAGAAAATACTGCACCCGGCCGAAATTTTAATAGCAACGGTCTGCGTCGTATGAAGGTCTATAGAAAAGGCTGAACCAGCGTGCGCCCCCATCTTGCAAACATGATAAAATTTTGAAGATAATTATACTTCTATCCCAAAATCCAAATGAAAATATAATATTTAGGTCAGGTCCCCATATAGTGATCTGAATATAATATCTATACAGTGATATGATGGATATTTTAACAAAAAAAAGCTTCTGAGAAACCCTGCTGAGTTTTAGTTATATATACTAGTACATGCATAAATATTGTTTCTTTGTTTTGTTTAGTTTAAAACTTAGCTCACATGTCGCCGGACAAGAAAGATGATTTTGGCTAAATTCGGGTGTTACTAACTTAAAGCAACACCAGGAGTCAAAGCCACATCTTATGCTGGAGCTAAGAAATGGACAGATTAGTAATACAAACCCATTTAGTCGCTCTTACGACCACGGAGAAATAAACGGCGGCTGTAATTCTAATACCTCAAATCTTATCTAGAGGCAACCCCTCAGCCACAGGGAATGTTACCAGTATTACCAGTCAAAAGCCTGGTTCCCGGCTTGTACAGTATAGTATCATTGTGTAAGCAATAACGACTAACTGACCAGAACGTTCAAGTTATTGTTGTAATAACCATTGGCCTATCCTTTTTGTTAAGCTTTTTATAATGATACATGTGAAATGTGCAGTGTATTTTATATGTATATGTAATAGAAAGAGCACCGAAACACGAGGCTATCTGATTTGTACGAGGGGGCGTAGCCCCCGAGTATTAATCAGATTGCCGAGTGTTTTGGTGTTCTTTCTCTTTTGTATCATAGTCAAACATAAAAGCACGTTCCCTGTTGTCACAATATGAAACCCAGGCAAAAATGAACCAATGAACGAACATCTGAATATGACATTTCTGTCGCTTTTCTTTTCTCTGCCGTCACAATATGTAAACCCCAGCAAAAATGAGCCAATCAATGGGCAGGCTCTGAAGTGCGGGTAAACTAATACCCGCACTCCAGTTAACGCACTGTGCATGTATATGTATACGATTTAACCCTGACACATTTTCAACAGAAAGGTCTCCAAACTATGATACAAGATCCAATAAAGTATTATCTATTTAAATTTAAGATAGTTATGCATTGTTGACTTTAGATCAACAAAATTCCAGAGCCTTTGAAACGTTTTTAGCAGGCTAAACGGAAGCAGGATAACGGTTTACATACTCTAGTAAAAGTGCTTCAAATTTCTCGAAAGCATTTGGTGATGATTTCATATTATTTAATCGTGTGAGAGTCGGCTTATTTAAAAAAATATATAGTTTAAAATTGTTATACATAGCTGATTATTGTTAAGGAATCACCTAAATATCCCCCGTGTCTTCGGATTTTTATCAGTATGACATTTGGACTTTCACACGTACATTTAATGCCATATGAAGTGAAAACATTTAACAAGTCATTTGACTACAGATAACTTGTCCATCTGAACTCTGTAAGCTATTCAGTCAGCTTACTAGTTGGCTCTGCTCATGAACGGGCACCTGCTTTTTTACTCCACCAGTAAAGCTGTTCTACAATGTAGGTGCGGTTTGCACTATGTGATATAATCTCCTTTCAACCCTTCTTATCACATGATCGGTCATATGTAGTATTGATTGAAGCGATATCGATAACATCATGATTTATGGTAAATTACTTTTATTACAATCCTCGCGTTCCTCTAACTAAAATACTCTGTATTTCGGTAACATTTTGAACATAGGAGCCCCGTGTCCTTGTACTTTACGAGCTTGTAATTGTTTCTGCAAGAATGAAATAATTTTGGTATGTTTTGATTCTTGTCTGACTCCATGTTGCATGGCTCGTGACATTAATAGTTAAAGAAACGCCGGATGCGAGTACACTAGTACTTAAAATTTTACGATAAGTCCTGAGTTGCCATGTCTTAAAGTACGTCCAGAATTTTTATCATCAATTTTTCTAATAGTCTCCCCTGGTTACCATTTCAAGAGTCAGTCCTTCTATAAAAATATGCTTAAAATGAGATACTTAAAATCTCAGAAAATTTAATTTAATCATGTTCATGTAACCTAAGTTATTTCATACATGTATATAAGACTTATTTATACTCGTATATAAGACTTATTTATACTCGTATATAAGACTTATTTATACTCGTATATAAGACTTATTTATACTCGTATATTAGACTTATTTATACTCGTATATTAGACTTATTTATACTCGTATATAAGACTTATTTATACTCGTATATAAGACTTATTTATACTCGTATGTAAGACTTATTATACTCGTATACTAGTATAAGACTTATTCATACTCGTATATAAGACTTATTTATACTCGTATATAAGACTTATTTATACTCGTATATAAGACTTATTTATACTCGTATATAAGACTTATTTATACTCGTATATAAGACTTATTTATACGCGTATATTAGACTTATTTATACTCGTATATTAGACTTATTTATACTCGTATATTTGACTTATTTATACTCGTATGGTAGACTTATTTATACTCGTATATTAGACTTATTTATACTCGTATATAAGACTTATTTATACGCGTATATTAGACTTATTTATACTCGTATATTTGACTTATTTATACTCGTATGGTAGACTTATTTATACTCGTATATTAGACTTATTTATACTCGTATGTAAGACTTATTTATACTCGTATATAAGACTTATTTATACTCGTATATAAGACTTATTTATACTCGTATATAAGACTTATTTATACTCGTATATTAAACTAATTTATATTCTCGTATATAAGACTTATTTATACTCGTATGTAGACTTATTTATACTCGTATATAAGACTTATTCATACTCGTATATAAGACTTATTTATACTCGAATATAAGACTTATTCATACTCGTATATAGACTTATTTATACTCGTATATAAAACTAATTCATATTCCTATATAAGACATATTTGTACTCGGATGTAAGACTTATTTATACTCGTATATAAGACTTATTCATACTCGTATATAAGACTTATTTATACTCGTATATAAGACTTATTCATACTCGTATATAAGACTTATACATACTCGTATGTAAGACTTATTTATTATACTCGTATATAAGACTTATTCATACTCGTATGTAAGACTTATTCATACTCGTATATAAGAACTTATTTATACTCGAATATAAGACTTATTCATACTCGTATATAAGACTTATTTATACTCGTATATAAGACTTATTCATACTCGTATATTAAGACTTATTCATACTCGTATATAAGACTTATTCATACTCGTATATAAGACTTATTTATACTCGAATATAAGACTTATTCATACTCGTATATAAGACTTATTTATACTCGTATATAAAACTAATTCATATTCCTATATAAGACATATTTGTACTCGGATGTAAGACTTATTTATACTCGTATATAAGACTTATTCATACTCGTATATAAGACTTATTTATACTCGTATATAAGACTTATTCATACTCGTATATAAGACTTATTTATACTCGTATATAAAACTAATTCATATTCCTATATAAGACATATTTGTACTCGGATGTAAGACTTATTTATACTCGTATATAAGACTTATTCATACTCGTATATAAGACTTATTCATACTCGTATATAAGACTTATTTATACTCGTATATAAGACTTATTTATACTCGAATATAAGACTTATTCATACTCGTATATAAGACTTATTTATACTCGTATATAAGACTTATTCATACTCGTATATAAGACTTATTCATACTCGTATGTAAGACTTATTCATACTCGTATGTAAGACTTATTCATACTCGTATATAAGACTTATTTATACTCGTATATAAGACTTATTTATACTCGTATATAAGACTTATTTATACTCGTATATAAGACTTATTTATACTCGTATATAAGACTTATTTATACTCGTATATAAGACTTATTTATACTCGTATATAAGACTTATTCATACTCGTATATAAGACTTATTTATACTCGTATATAAGACTTATTTATACTCGTATATAAGACTTATTTATACTCGTATATAAGACTTATTCATACTCGTATATAAGACTTATTCATACTCGTATATAAGACTTATTTATACTCGTATATAAGACTTATTCATACTCGTATATAAGACTTATTTATTATACTCGAATATAAGACTTATTCATACTCGTATATAAGACTTATTTATACTCGTATATAAAACTAATTCATATTCCTATATAAGACATATTTGTACTCGGATGTAAGACTTATTTATACTCGTATATAAGACTTATTCATACTCGTATATCAAACTTATTTATACTCGAATATAAGACTTATTTATATTCGTATATTAGACTTATTTATAATCGTATGTAAGAATTATTTATACTCGTATATAAGACTTATGTGTAATCGTTAGACGTATATAGGGAAAGGGAACAAAGATGAACGCTGAAATATAACTTGCAGCAATTTATTTGTATGCAGACAATAACGTTCTAGAATTACTCTTTATTCACAATAGCATCGTCATTATAACAATAACAACAACAACAAATATACACGAGTGAAATATTTGGTATGGTATAGCAAAATGACGGTGATTTAAATGTATATAATATGTATTAAATGACATAATTATTTTGATGACATACATGTACGGTTTAGAGTTGGTATTGTTTATATTTCACAGCAGAGTATATATTGCTTTTATCTCACAGCTGATTTTGAAAATATAGAATAGTATTAACAGCGAACAATGAAACATTTTTCTTTAATGTAAGATATATCTCATATTTGCGAAATATAATGAGATTGTTTTTAATTAATTACCTTATTACTCCCAAGTAAAATATATTGAACACATATAAGTAAATTATTGTTTCAATTTGAATAAAAATATTCTGATTTGCCTCACTAATTTATGAACAATGACTAATTTTGATCGGCCACAATTTAACACCATGAAATTAAAATACGACTTGCTGTAAGATATGCTGCATTTAGTTCTCAGTAAAGTATATTATATATTGTTATAAGACTGTTTACCATATATTACCATAAAACTGGTTACCATATATTACCATAAGACTGGTTACCATATATAATTATAAAACTGGTTACCATATATTACCATAAGACTGGTTACCATATATAATTATAAGACATGTTACCATATATTATCATAAGACTGGTTACCATAAAATATTATAAGACATGTTACCATATATTACCATAAGACTGGTTACCATACATTACCATAAGACTGGTTACCATATATAATTATAAGACATGTTACCATATATTATCATAAGACTGGTAACCATAAAATATTATAAGACATGTTACCATATATTACCATAAGACTGGTTACCATACATTACCATAAGACTGGTTACCATATATTATCATAAGACTGGTTACCATAAAATATTATAAGACATGTAACCATATATTACCATAAGACTGGTTACCATACATTACCATAAGACTGGTTACCATATATAATTATAAGACTGGTTACCATATATTACCATAAGACTGGTTACCATATATAATTATAAGACTGGTTACCATATATTACCATAAGACTGATTACCATATAATATTATAACACATGTTACCATATATTACCATAAGACTGGTTTACCATACATTACCATAAGACTGGTTACCATATATTACCATAAGACTGGTTACCATATATAATTATAAGACTGGTTACCATATATTATTATAAGACTGGTTACCATATATTATTATAAGACTGGTTACCATATATTGTTATAATACTGGTTACCATACATTACCATAAGACTGGTTACCATATATAATTATAAGACTGGTTACCATATATTATCATAAGACTGGTTACCATATATTACCATAAGACTGGTTACCATATATTACCATAAGACTGGTTACCATATATAATTATAAGACTGGTTACCATATATTACCATAAGACTGGTTACCATATATTATTATAAGACTGGTTACCATATATTACCATAAGACTGGTTACCATATATTACCATAAGACTGGTTACCATATATAATTATAAGACTGATTACCATATATTATTATAAGACTGGTTACCATATATTATTATAAGACTGGTTACCATATATTGTTATAAGACTGGTTACCATGCATTGTTAAAATACTGGTTACCATATATCATTATAAAACTGGTTACTATATGTTATTATAAGATTCGTTACAACATATTATTTTAAGACTAATAATATTAAGATATCTTTAAGAGACGATATTAATGATCTATTTTAAACGCTTATCAATCATTGGATCAATATACAAATACAACATTAGTCTAATATCGGCCCAATATATAATGTATTTTATTTACACGAACAACTCACGTTTTTGTGTATGTAGACGATTAAAATAATTTTTGAATGTTGACGCATTGGTTTTAGGTTAGACTGCAGTGCAATGGGTAGAAACATTTCTGAACATAAGCAATATATATGTATAAATGATATGTTTGATTAAATTTTATATAGCGAAATATCAAATTGATTTCCTTTAAAAAAATACATGTACATGCACTCGAAAAAAATATTTTTAGAAAAATTAAAGATACATGACTCTCAGAGAATTTAATTTCCATTCATTCATTAGTTACCTCCCTTGCGACGTTCTTGCAACAATCTTAATCTGCATTTAATCCGGTTCATGTCGCCATACTGATCGCCATATCTAGCAAAAATTTTGTGTCTTTTTATTTTCGAGCATATAACCATCTTTTGGTAACTTCACTTGTTTTTAGGTACAGATCTATCTTCTTTTTTTGTGTTAAAGTTTTATCTTTTTGGCAGAATCAGAACTATTTCCAACATAACATTTGAAACAACCACATATCTAAGACAAAGCGCGAACGAGTATTATGTACAAATAACTTATTCAAAAGCACATTAATATATTTCTTTTTCTAATTTTTTGAACACAAACGTTGTGCTGATATGCTACATATATTTTTTTAATTTAATAAATTATAACGAAAATATCCTACTTTATACAATAACTATATTCTATATTTGTACACAAAACTTTCCTGTCAAACTTTCCTTCTTCTTTAATCCAATTTTTTATTTCAAAATATGTAAATTAGTTGATCCTAAGTATATTCGTTTCTTTTAACATATTTCTATGTGATTCAAATTGAATGTTAAACTCATCGGTAAAAACTTAATTTATTTCCCCCTTTTTATGCGCTGATATACTTAACATATTTAGCATGTGCTATTCTCCTGTATGTTTTACATTCATACAATTATACATGTATTCATTTCTAGGTCCAGTTTTCTCTATAGTTTCTTGAATTATTCTATACCATCAAAAGCTTTAAATGTCGGACGATTTTTTTCTCAGTCTTTCTTTAGATAAGATCCATTTTTTGTCACGTGGTAATGCTGTGATATTTATTGAAGCATGAGTTATCTATCTTGGATGTACATTGATTGTGACCATAGGGCGATTTTGTGAATCATTGATAGTGACGGTAGATTCCTTTGTAACAACAACTTTCCTTACATCTTGGCTCTGTGTGACGGAATACTTTCTTACTTGGTTCTTAATTGGCGCCTCAATAATCAATTTGCCCTCGTCTCCGATATATGCCGTAATCGCCGTTTGATCTACGCTGTCCGGAAGCTCATATTCTTTATTAAATTCCTTGTGAAGAGTTTTCCCTGCAGTTTTCTCAACGTGTTCTGCATGGACTACCAGTTTCTTTTCCATTGTTTTGACTACAACTTCTTCTGGACGGAATTCCCCCGCGTCGACAGTGAGACGAAGTTTTCTCGTACCGTCCGGTTCCGTGATAATCGGGTTCTTAACCGGCGTTGCAAGCTGTAGAGTTCGGTCAGGCTGGACTGCCTGTTGGATCGGCAAGACCTGGTGCTGGGCAACAAGCTGATTGCTGAACACAGGACCGTCAACTGTAAGGATTCCATCTCTACTTAAGACACACTGTAGCTTTTCTTGGTCGACATTTGGTGGTATGTCAACCTGTCGGCTGTATTCTCGACTAACAGTCTGTGCGTTATTTCTTTCCTCGTGTTTCGCGTAAACAATCACCTTGTTATCTTGAACTTTGACCTGAATTTCATCAGGTTTAAATTCACTCACATCAAATCTTACTTTAAAACGCTGTTGTCCATTCGCTTCTGTTTCATATACAGTCCTAAGAGCTCCAATTTTATCTAATCCGATAGTACTAGCGCGTCTATCTGCAAGTCCAGGTTTTAATGTAAAAAATTCGTCCCTCATTTTATCAAAATCGTCGCTCCATTCTCTCTTTCTTTTTTCCATCTTAGTTTCCATGTCCTCCCATACTTTTATTTGTCTATCTTGGAAGTCCATCTCGTCTCGTTTAATGGGAACACTTAGCTCTGAACGGAATCTTGCCATCGTATTTTAATTCTTCTTGCAGTAAATGTCTGAAAAAAGGAAACAGTACCCAGATTAATCTACGAAAATGACATACCTAGATAATAAACCACATGCGTTTCCGCCTAGTCTACCTTTCTCTTACGAATTTTGTGCAAGTTTCATTCACCTGTATTTTGCTGAAACAGATATTTGTTTGTTTTGTGAAAAGTTAATCAAAATTTAAAACCTCATTGCCAACGGGAGATCAAACAATTTATCGGTTTTCCTGAATTCACTAGAAAAAATAAAAAAATTGCTGCTAGAGAATCCCTTTATAATTCAAAACAACTTCTGATACAGAAACGAGACAAAAAATGAATGAAATGAATCCAATAAACTTAAAAACAGCCACGGCAAAATACACAATGCTAAAATAAACTTTAAAATTAATAAAAAAAATAGAAAAAAAAGGAAAGGCTTTCGTTGCAGCTTATGGATAGTGCAATAAAATGTATCAAACAAAATATGATTAAAATTCATCTGTTGTTCAAATAATATTATTTCAGCAAATCTTTGTTCTTATGAAAACAATTAGACAAAGATAATGTGATTATATCCAGTATAATTATGCTGGCTCTGCTAATAAGACTGTAAAAAACGATTGTGTTAACCAGTTTACTGGTTATGATAGTGTATATCCTGTTCTTTTCTGATAGTTGAAGCGATTGATCATAATCAGTAGATATAAACCGTATATTTTATAATATTTTTAACCGAAAACAAATACCACGTCTTTCTAGAAAAAAAACCTATGTCCACCCTAAATTATCATTTATTACAAGGAACAGTTGTTTACCAACAAATATCATGCATTTTCCGGGAAAAACTGCAGAAACTACGTTTAACAACAAATATCCTTTTTTACGGAGGAAAATTGCAAAAACTACGACACTTCCAGAAAATGCATTGAATACTCAAGGAAAAAATGCATTGACTACGTCCACAAAAAATGTCATAATTTGTCTAAGAAGTACTGCATTTATCACGTCTTAAAAAATATTATAATTTTCCAGGAAAGAAAATAAACAAACTTCGTCCACCAACACAACTGTATCTTTGTAGGAAAATATGTATAAATTGTGTTTATAAAATGGGTTTACCAATTACATATAGTATCATATGTTTCTAGAAAAAATGCATAACATATATCTCTTTGTACTAGAAAAAATGTATTAACTAAGCTTATTTCGAAATCAACCTGATTCATAGTGGTTTTAAAATTCCAACAAATTGATAAAAAAACTAAATCCAATAGGTAATACGTCCATTAGAAATGAAAACTTCCGAGACATTCCTGGGGTATATAAACTGTTCGTTATCACAAGAGCTTTGAAATAACTTTCCATGATAAAAATCTCAGTTTTGGAAACCACAGGTGAATTGGCATAATTTCGTTTTTGATGTCAGGTTTCCCCGAACTTTTGATAACATTTTTTCCAAGGTACCCCGGCACCGTGTCTGGGGAATATAATTAGGTTACTTGTTGAGAGATGAGTCTTAATTGATTTGGACTTTGAAATGTGTTCGTGTGGGTAAAATCTTAGGATATATCAGCGATAGTGATTTTTTGTAACAAGAGTTGTAGCCTCTTTTATCAGAAAAAGATAAAGCGCGCTGTTTGTTAAAAACGAAAACGAAAAAAATATCTTCCTGAACAGAGTTGATAATAGCCGTACCCATCACGTATAGTTTTACTTAATGTACGGTTTGAGAGAGTAGTTTTATTCATTTTTTCATTTAAATATTTAAATGAGGTCCGATTAATTGATTTAAGAACATAATATTATTTTACTAAAAACTCTGCAACTCCACAAACTGTCATTTAATTGTGGACCCCGACAACTTTATGAAAAATAAACAGTAGGTCTAAACGCGAAAGAAATGCTTTATGTAAGATATTGCAATTAACAACATTCAAACGTTATGGATATTGTAAATCATTCGTGCTAATTTAACCATTCAAAATGGCAAACGGTTCGAAAATACGAGAAATATATGCGCTATAATCGTCAAGGCATCATAAGCGGCGTTCACAAAACGCAACCCGACAAAAAAGAAAGAGAGAAAAAAATAAACAAACAATCTAATAGGACCACAGGAACCCCCTCTCCCAGTTAAAACACTCATCATGAATAATCAAAAATTGTTAAACTAAAGAATAATGTCATTCACATTCACTCACTAATAAAGGCAATTATTTCAAAAGTTGAACATAAATCAAGACAGTGCATGTAATGCAGGCAGTTATCTTATTTTTCAAGGCTATGACATGTTTGAAGAAAATAGAATGCTAGCTGTTTTGGGAAGAACTATTATACAGTTTAAAGAAATTTCCCAAAGAGCATACCCGAGCCTAGCCGTATTTTCCGTTTTTGACCTTTTTTACTCAATTCCAATAATTTCAATGTCCATCCTGTAATACATTTATAGACATTGAGAAGGCATGAGAGGATGAATTGTTTGTTACGAGTAAACTAGAACAACTTGAACATACATGTCATTTATCACGTAGGAGTAGTTTGGGGTCAAACGCACGTTCGAGTCCAACACAAAAATTTTCACAACGCACTTTGGGGTCAAACAGTCTTTGGGGTCAAAATCATGAAAAGAACCCTACAGTGCGTTCATATGGTACATATCAACATACTTTGGTTTCTGAAAGGTCTGGAGGTGTCATCTTAGTTCTGCTTAAATACTGACTACTGTCTTATTTTTGATCTGCACTCTTGAAATATTTAAAGTGGAATTCAAGATGATAATAGATATACACTGTGCAATTAACTAAACAATCTAACTTAGTGTCTTTTTAATTCTGATGTAGCAGTAATTGTAAAAAATGTATTTGTTGCTTGTAAGTAATAAATATTTTATTTTACCACTTTAAATATCAAAACAATTGTGACTATAAAAAGTGATCCTTAAAATAACAGATGTTACAAAGAGCACTCTGTTTTGTCAGCAATTTTATTGTCACATTAAACTATGATAGGGATAAAGATGGGAAATAAAATGCAGAAAATATCATCTTACCGCATCTTATTTAAAAACAAATCAATTTATATTCACGATTACTTATAGCAAGTAAGTGAGAACGTACATTAAAGCAAAGTTGCGTGAGGTCTACAGCTGTAAATTTATTTCAAGCCCATTTAACGATTTTCTAGTTTCCTCAATATTTGGACTACATGTTATCGCTTTTGTAAATTACAAAATGTCGAAAATCATTAATTTTTTTAAGAGATATATATACATGTAGTTTGTAAAACAATAATAACCATGATCACTCGTTCAGTAAATGCATACGTGTATTTATAGTCGGTCTTAGTAATTAAACTTGTTAGTTTTCCAGGAAAACCCGTTTAGGTGGACCGAAAGTCGAAATATGAACAAAAATTGAGCCGTGTCACGACAAAACCAACATAGTGGGTTTGCGACCAGCATGGATCCAGACCAGCCTGCGCATCCGCGCAGTCTGATCAGGATCCATGCTGTTCGCTATCAGTTTCTCTACTTGTAATAGAGTTGGTAAGCGAACAGCATGGATCCTGATCAGACTGCGCGGATGCGCAGGCTGGTCGGGATCCATGCTGGTCGCAAACGCACTATGTTGGTTTTGTCGTGACGCGGCTCAAATGTCTTACAATCGACGTTAAGGAAAGAAAGAAAGAAAGAAAGAAAGAAAGGAAGAAAGAAAGAATATATCCTTATATTCATCAAAGCACATTCACCTTCGGCTGAAATCTTCACACGCACGCACGCACGCACGCATAGTAGTTATATACGGTTGGCAAATTACCCGCCTCATTAAATTCCTACATACAGGCCAGCAGCTGAACATGTGTCTTTCTTATCTGATAAAACATAAAGAAAAACACAGATAGGATACACCTTTCATTTAAGGTACTACATCCAAAACGAACTCGTCAGAAAATCAATCCAACAAAACTGACTTGTCCTAAACTTTGAATATCTAGCAACCAGTTTCCGATGTAATTATTAGCCTTTTTCATGCAAAATCATCTACAATTTCAACGAAATAGAGTAACCTGAACGTAAATTTGTTTATCAATGCTGATACTATAAACCTTAATCACTTTCAATTTTCTTAATTGGTTTTGTTCGTCTTTTAATATGGACGAAAGGGAAAATTTAAAAAAAAGTTCTGACTTGATAGCGGACGGTAGGGATGGATGTGTGAGCAAAACCGGAAAGAAAACAACAATCCCTGTACACGTTGAATAAACGAGAGGTCACGTAAATAACCTACGTCCTAGAGGACAGCTACACTATAATATGTGTAATGTCATTGGCACTATAGAAATGTGTTATTTGGTACAATCATATATTTATAATCATATTTTTTTATGCTGGAACGAATCAACTGAGAAAAGCCCCACAAGCCCTACAAAAATATATAATTGTCCGCCATATGACACGAAACTCCACTTACTTAAAGGGTAGTTCCGAATTGATTCAGCAGGATCAGTTTTTTTTATGTATATGGTGCAAATGACCATATTTTTTTTTCAACATGTGTTCTATTTATATCGGAAATAAAATAATGATCGTTTAAGACGGGTTTGAAATATGTTACCTATATCCAGAGATGGTGATTAGCAAAGGTTCTGATAGTCAAACCATTTAAAATGGGAAATGAAACGGCTGTATTGTAACGGGTGATCTTAATCAAGAGGTAGTGGTTTGCATAAGTTCTTATAATGAACTGTTTTAAAGGGAAAACCGATGCTCGATAATGATGGATTTCAAATACGTGAAACCAGTGGAAAACCAGAAGTCGAACAAACAACTCTAAAATGAACTATGACAGTCCATCTCAATTTTATTGACATTTTATAGAATAAAATATTGAAAAAGAGTTTGCTTAAATATTTTTGGTTTCATGCAGTTTACTGTAACCCAATTTATATTCGCGAATACAAATTTTCGCGTTTTGCCGAGGTCGGACATATTCGCGAATATTAATTTCCGCGTTTTCTTGATTTCCGAA